TGAACCCCCAAGCTTATCCACACTATTAAAATGCCCACTGGCTTCACCTTGTCAGTCTGCAGCCACAGTCAGGCTGACTACTGCTGCTGGCACCTCCGTAACACCCTGCCTTTAAAACAACTTCCACTATCCTCTTCCCGACGAGGCTGGGGAAAGCCGGGAGCAGAGGGGGCAGACACGGGGTGGGCCAGGAGGCCGTCAGCTGAGCCAGAACACGAGGAAAGGTCACAGCAAGTGTTTTAAACCAAGCCCTTAGTTGGGTGTAACTCTCCTTCCAGCACACACTGTATTCCAGCTGACAAACCGCCTGCAATTTCCAGGTTGCGATGGGGAGCTGTTACGAAGCACTCATGGAGCACTTTAATTACCACAGCAAAAACCACAGTTTGAAAGAAGTGTGACAACCTTGGCAAAGCAGACAGGAGGAAACAATCATCTGTACTGAAGTTTGGAAACAGTGCACCTCGTCACGCACCCTGCTCCGGCCTCGGGCTCCACTAACAGCAGCGGCAGTCGGGAAATTTGTCAGAACAAGCATTTGGCATAACTAGAAAATATGAGCTGTTTTATTCTCCCTCCTGGTGCATTCTCCCCTTAGGAGCCATGGAGCAGGCAATGCACATAAAATGCCTGGACCTTTTAATGTAATTATGATTTTATGGGACTGCAACCAGTACTGGGGGGGGGTGGGGGTGGATCACCTAGACCTGACTGCTAATTCTTACTTGTTTGCCTTTCACTCAAAAGCACAAGAAGGTCATTTGTAAAATGTAACCTTCACTTCATTATATAAGGTAGCAGCTGAATAAGGACTTTGGAGAGGATTAAAGTCAAGGCAAGATACTCTCTTCATTAGAGCATATCTCCTTATTCAGATTGAGTGGGAATACTGCTATAGAAAAGATCCCTATATGCAGCACAGCTCTCCTCTCAAGCCCGCTGCACAGAAACCAGTAGCTGTCATAGCCCCCATTCCCCAAAATCTAGTTCAGCCTATAACAGCCCAGGGTTTCAACTTGGATATCACTGGGGTGTGGGGGGTAAGTTGGCCAACACAGTCATCAGTAAGCACCACATGTTTTGGCCAGATCTCTTGGGTATGGGCAAATATTTGAGAGAGCATCGGGGTTAATGCTCAGGGATGCACTCAGCAGCAAGCCCCTTGTAGGAATAACCAAGCTTCGAACATGAGCGCTCAGAAAAACACATCTACCATGGCTCTTGCACCCAGGCAAAGTACATATTACACCACAAGAGCCGTTTTTGCAGTGTTGGTGGAGGAGAAGGCAGGAAACCAAGACCATGTGTAAGGGACGAGGCCCACCTGGCTGTGCTGTAAGCACAGACAATGCCCCAGGGAAAGCTCCAGAAGCCAGCCACGGGGGAGGGGCCCGGTGTCACTCTTCTTGACTGACTAATGTCTCAACCACTCCTGGAGCTGGGGTAAAA